CAGGCTCGCGTTTAGGAAGGGCTTTGTTCAACCCAGTTAAACAGGTTTCTTTCTTGAAGGACTCCACCGGCCTTCAGCACGATAATCGCACTGCGAATTTCCAAGCAGCGCGGATCTCTGCAGATGGAAAGAGCTGGAACCGGGGAGGAGAGCCCTGCTGCGAGGCTGGGACAGCCCAGATGGGAAAAGTGGTTGGTGGGAGTCTGTCTCTGGGGGTGCGTGCTGTTTCCTCTCTCTGCATTAATTTCCATTTTCCTCCTCTTTATCCTCACTCCTTTTTTTTTTTGTGTTTTAAAAAACGGAAGTGAAATAACAAAATTTGTTGTCTTAGCCCTTTTTTAAATATTTCTCTTTCGTTGTAGTTGAATACAGTACCTTTATTTTATATATTTATTTTTATGTGGTGCTGAGGATCGAACCCAATGCCTAGGCGATGGCTAGGCGATGGCTGTACCGTTGAGCCCCAAACCCAGCCCTGTCTCAGCCTTTTTTGAGCATACAGTTCAGGGGCATTGGCTACACTTAGGTTGTTACTTAGCTCTTGCCACCATTCAGCCAAAGACCTCTTTATCTTGCAGAACCCAAACCCTGCACCCATTAAACACGAACCTTCCCATACCTCCACCCCAGCCTCCAACAGCCCGTTCTGCTCTGTCTCTGAATCTGACTTCTGCTATGTCCCCTCAGTGGACTCGGGAAGCACTGGTCTTTTCATGACTGGTTTATTTCACTCAGCACAATGTCAGGTTCACACATGTTACGGCATATGTCAGAATTTCCTTCCTTTTTAAGGCTGAGTAATATTCCTCAGTATGGATAGACCACCCTCCACCCCTCGTGGACATTTGGGTTTCTTCTGCTCCCTCCCTCGCTTTTTCTCCTCTGGTCCACAAGTCCAGATTGACTGTCGTACCTCCAGTGGGCTGCTGTGCCTCACTTCCCACGTGCTTGCCTTTGCTCTTTTCTGCTGCTGGTGCGCCTTGCTCCGCCCTCTGCTCTTTTCTATGCTCCTTTTTGGCCCCCGGGTGGGCCGTTCTCCCCCCTCTTATCACCCACTTGTGTTGTTTTTCCCACCGTCCATCCTTCCCTCTGTCCTGCTGCCGACCTGGGCGGGTGCTCGGTGCAGGCAGGTGGAGACTCAAAGGTGCTCAAGAGGAAGGAGGCTCTTTGCAAAGCTGTGGCCGCGGGCGCCCTGCTCACGGCCGACTTGCCTCTGTCCCAGGCAAGTGTCATTAAATATCAGTGCCCCTGAGCACCCTGAGGACGGGGAAATCCCGAGTGCAGAGACGCCCAGGCCTTTCCTTTTTGGTTTGAGGTTGGTGCGATTGGGTTCAGTGCATTTGTGTAACTTAAAAAGAGGGTCTGGAGGTGCTAAATCAGTCTCAAATTTCCTTGTGAGTCTCGGTGTAATGCCAGGTTTGTGAAGGAGACCTTCCTGGCCATGTCACATCTGTAGAGGAGGGATGGCACTTGTCACCTGTCAGCCTGGACTCATGTTTCCTAGTGCTCTAGGGATTAAGACAGATGGGGACAGCCACACCCCAGGACTGTGAGTGCTCTACCTCAGGTCGGCTCCACACTGCCTCTGGCCCCGCCCACCTCTGTGCCCACTACCAGCCCTCCGAGACCTGTCCTTGTAAATTCCGAGTGAAGCCAGGGCCTTCCTACCTGAAAAGAGGCACTGCAGCAGCCCTTCCCCAAGGCATGGGACCTCTGCCCTGGACTGGGCCTGGCAGAGACACTGCTTGTCCACAGTCCCAGGATAGTCCCCAGGGACGGGCTGCTGCCTCTGCTCTGCTTGAGTCGGCAGGTCATGCCCTGGCTTGAGAAATGCAGTGAGATCTTTCCTTTACAGCGATAAGGAAAGATCTAGATGAACAGTGACCAGCAAGCGAGCGCAGACTGTGAAATGTGGTTCCTACTGGGGGAGATAGGCTGAGGCACGGTGCCCTCCACCCCGGGTGGTCGGTGCCTTCGTTCTTCAGCAAACATTTGTTGGGGCCCCAGGATTAGTCCATCTTAGCAGGCACTGGGGATCTGTGAATGAGACAGACACTCGTACCCTGGAAGACCATATACCAGACCATGTTAGATTCTGTGAGGCCCCTCTGTGAGTCCTTTATTACTAACAAGGATGGAAATAGCCACGTGTCTTATTTAATGCTCTCCATTGGTCATCCCATCAGTGAAGAGACCCAGGCCAAGAGAGATCAGCCCACACGTCCAGGGTCACACCAGGAGCCACCGGCTCTGAATTCACCCTGGCTCTCTGATGCCAGAGCCCAGGCTCTTGACCCCACACTGGCCGGTTAGGCTCTTGCTTGCTATCAGGGATGGTCGTAAGACAAAGCCCAGTGAATGCAAGGCCTTATTTGCCTGAAACCTTGAGCAATTTCAAGCATCCTTTAGAAATCAGTGCTAGAGCGCCGGCTCTCCCAGGGACAGACACCCCCACTTCCCCCCGAGAGCACTCTGCATTCCCTCCCCTTCAGGGGTCGCCGGCAGCCCACCCAGCACTGAGCCCAGGTGTCTGACTGAGGCCTAGCAGCTTCTGGGCTGGCGCACTCCGTTGCCTCTCTTTCTCTTGATCTCCTTTGCTCATTCTGTATCCTCTTGAAGAAACATAAAGGTTTAGGGATGCTGACACGCTCACTCCCGGAGGCCCCCCCAGGACCCTGATCCCCTTGGGCAGTGATTTCTCTGTTCTTGTCTGTCTCTGTTTTCACTGTGGGTCAGTCTAGGCCTGAGGCATCTCTGTGTCTTCGGTGTCACCCGCTATAGGTGTGGCTCAGAGCAGGGCTCAGGACTATGTTGAATGAATGAATGGGGGGAAGGGGGAGTCAGGTGGGTTGTGGGGTTAGGCCAGGACTCGATTAAACCCCTGGGATAAGAGAAGCCAGGTCCCGTGAGTTCCTGAAACTTAAAGCCTCCCTCCTTCAGGGCTGGGCTGGGGAGGTCTACCCCTACTTGGGTCTTCCACTTGCCATAGGTGGCCAAGTACTGAGCTTCTAATAAGGCTGGACCCAACTTAAAGAACAGATTTATAAGCAGAGACAATCTTCCTTTTTTTTTTTACGCATTAAGAAATGCCCTTTTTTTGAGGAAGTGGTGATGGTAGCCAGGTGTTGGTGATCGTTGCTTATGTTATTATTTTTATGTCCTCTCTTGGCAAAACAACAAGTTGGCAAGAACATGCCCGTTTTCTTTGTGCTTTTAATAGCTGGCAAAACCTGAAATCTGGAAATGACCACAAAGGTAGATCACTCGTGTTCACATTGTTTCTCCAGCCCTGGGTGTCGGGGGTCTCTGTCTTTGGGACCTGCAGGGAGCCCTGCTGTTGGGGGTCCAGAGTTCTTTGCCCTGTGTTTAATCAGAGAAGCCCTTTTTCCTTTTTATATATTAGGTGTTCTGTACGGATCTGTGTGGAGATTAAAGGATTCCCCTACCAAAACTTGGAGCGCCCCGCCTCTAGGCTGGAGGATGAGGGGGGGGTGGGGAGGGAAAGAGGAAAGGAGAGAAGAATCCCACTGTGTGGCAGAGTGCAGCCTACTTGGGTCTTCCACTTGGCAAGTACCTCTTACCTCTGTGCTAGTCGGGGCTCTCTAGACAAGCAGAGACAATAGGGGGTGTGTGTGTGTGTGCGTCCCCAGTTTATTTTGAGGAATTGGCTCACACCACTGTGTGAGCTGGCAAGTCCAAAATCTTGAGGGCGGGCAGCAGACTCCTAGGGAAGAGCTAATGCTGCAGTCCATGTCCAAAGATAGTCCAGAAGCAGAATTTCTTCCTTCTTGAGGGCCTCTAACTGATTAGATCAGGCCCACCCACAAGAGCTCAGTAATTTATAAAAATGGAGGCATCCAGTAGAGAAAATGCCTCAAAAGCAGCCCTTAATTAAACCAAGTCATTGCTTAAATGTGAATCTTATCTAAAACTACCTTCACAGAATCATCTAGACTGATGTTTGACCTGGGTACCCTGGGCTAGCCAGGTTGAAACAGGAAGTTGATCTTCCTACCTGCTCGGGTGCGTTTGACGCCTGAGCAGCAGTCAGTAAAACCAAAGCCAGGTCTTGGCCTCCAACAGGCAAGACTGTGCGCAGGGGTACATTAAGAGCAAGACCTTTTATATTTAGGTGTTACCTTGTAAAAATGAAAGGATGTGAAGTGTTTAGCGGAGATGAGGTAGGTGAGACCCAGGGGGTTCTGGGAGATTTCCAGGCAGGGCCTGATGCGAAGTTTTCAGGACATCTCAGAGATGTGAGAGTGCAGAAGACGACAAAGCCAGAGTGGGAGCCCAGGATGGGAGCCCACAGCCCGCCGCTCTCCATGCCAGCCGCGCCGCGGAGGTCCTCGGCAAAAACTGTCAAAACCTCGTCTGTGTGGAGTGTACCGACTTATTGTCACTCTTCCCTAGGGTCCAATACAGCATAGCCTTGTCCATGGCCTTTGTAGTGTGTTAGGTGATCTAGAGATGATTTTTACAGAAGGATGTACCTACATTATACACAAATGCTACACCTTTTACAGAAGGGACTGGAACATTCTCAGATTTGGGGTATCCCAGGGTCCTGGAACCAGTCCCCACAAATATGGGGGCCAGCTGAACTTCTGTTTATCTGGGACTCCGATTTTATGAAGGTCTTCACACGCATTATTTCACTGCCACATGCCACAAAGGAGTTTTTCATGGACTGTCGGAGGTCCAGAGAGGCAAAGGGACTTGTCAGCAGTCCTGCAGCCGGCCAGTGGCGGGCTTGGTAGGCTCTCCCTCCCCCACATCCCGTGCCCTTCCCTTGTCCTTTGCCCCCATGACTGGGCACCATGAAGGCTGTGGCTGTGCGGCAGGGAGAGGCGCGGGGGGCACTTTAGGAGGGAGAGAGTAAAGGCATCTCCTACCAGGAGCCCAGTGATGCCGTTTTCTCCCGCGGCTTTGGGTCCCCGGGTCCTCTTCTCTCAGCCTCCTTATTAACGTGCGCGTTTTTGTTTTCTTGTCCTCCACAGACCCGAATGCAGAGTTTGTATCCAGATCCCAAAGCCCAGTACACAAGTATTTACGGAGCCCTCAAGAAAATCATGCAGACGGAAGGCTTTTGGAGGCCCCTGCGGGGCCTCAATGTGATGATGACGGGCGCAGGGCCGGCCCACGCCATGTATTTTGCCTGCTATGAGAACATGAAAAGGACTTTAAATGATGTTTTCAACCACCAAGGAAACAGCCACCTAGCCAATGGTATTTTGAAAGCATTTGTGTGGAGTTAGCTCTCTACTGAACATGCTCCCCGGGGCCTTCCTCCGGGCCTTCCTCCCGGGACCCAGCAGCCTTCGTCTCCAGCGGCTGGTGCAGCACAGGACTCTAGGGAGCCTGTTGTTGTGGGCTCTTTTTGGTTTTTGGCTTTTTTTTTTTTTTTTTCCAAAACCAATTAATGATCAGACCTAGGAAAAAAAAAAACCCGAATAGAAACAAAACCTTTGAATGCTGGATTCAAAAAAACAAATGTTATGTGGACAGCTCCTTTGAGACTGTTTAAAAACTGGTACTGCAGGTCTCCACAGCGCCAAGATCTAACTAAGCTTTAAAAGGTCAAGAAGTTTTATGGCTGACAAAGGACTTGTGCCCCTGCGGAGGGCCTTTCCCACTCTGAGCTTCGGGAGACTTGGGGACTTCTGCCCCCACCCTTCCGTGTGTCCGAGTTGCATCTCTGCGAGCGAGATGGTTTTGCGTGGTTGATCCCAGGGAGACAGGCGGGGTGGGGTGACATGGTGGTGGGCAGCTCTTATGCAGGGCACGCGGTACTGTGCCGCTCGACAGGCTCCTGCTCCTGTCGCGTGGTGTCACCTTCCATTGTTTTTTTGCTTGGGTGTAGAAGGGGCACCGTGAATATCAATTTAAAGTGTGCTTGTTTTGACAGTTCATTTTTCAGCAGTAGAGAGTGAGACAGGGCCAGTAATAATGTGGTTTTTTTTCCCTCCTTCTTTTTGTTCTTAGAGACCCAAAATGCATTCCTCCCATCAGCAAGCCTTGGAAATAAGGGCACTGGTTGATTTGCAATCATTTCTTTGGCTTGTAAATGACTGACCCTCCATTGCATTTGTTGAGAAGGTCACTAAGAGCCACGCCCTGGTTCTCCCCTGAGCCTAGGAAGCTGGGCCCTCCTTTGACCCTAGGTGCCTTATGGAATGGTTTAGCTCCTTGAGGGAGGTTTGGTAAGACCCATGTCTGCCCTGCGCTGTCCCCAAAGCATCATGGTTTACGCTGTGGTGGCATTTTGGCTTTTCTGGGGGATAATTAGAAGTGTGTACGCAGGGGAAGGGGCTTGTTATGTGCATTTCTAAGGAGGGAGCCTGCTGTCCGTCCCTCAGCCCCCCAGCTTCCAGGGGTAATTTTAATTACTGGGCAGTGGCCCTGCAGAGGGAAGAAATGCAAAGCCAAAAGCAAAATTGCAGGCATGAGTCTAGACTTTTGAAATTACTGGTTCTTGAAGCCTGACCAGAGGAGACCCTCAGGTAGGGTTGGTCATTCAGGAGACCCTGGAACTCTGTTAAATGCCAGTCTTCTAACTTCTTCTCTTACTCATTTGCCTAAAAATACCTGGGCATCACTAAAAAATTTTCCTAAGTGATTTCTCTTCTGCTGTCTTCCCCCCGTCAACCATAGACATATTATCCCCTTTGATGAGCTTAGCTTGAGGGTACAGTCAGCCAGAATGCAGACGGAGGCGAGGGACAAGAGAAACTGAAAATCAGACAATGGAGAAAACTATGAGGTGTGGCTTCTGAACACCAACAACGTGAGCAGGTCTAGCCTTTTCCCAGGGTTGAGGACAAGAAAAGGAATGAGGTTTCTGCAAGGGGGAACCTCTGCCTGTGTCACCCTTCCCCATTGTACTCAGCATTTCCAAGTAATTGGAAATCGCCAGTTACCTTGGTATTGGCTCAGGGTGTGAAGCCTCGGTGCTCACTGAGTGGAGTCAGCAGATTTTGCTCCTTTGACTTAGGTTCCAGGGACTTCCTCGGAACACTTGGTGCCAGAGTGTAATTTTCTGGAGTTTGTTTTGCAGGGATAGCTGGGAGTATGGCCACCCTGCTCCACGATGCGGTAATGAATCCGGCAGAAGGTAATGTTCCATGGTTCCACAGAGGGACAGTAGGGGATGTACAGAGGGCAGGAGAACAGGTGGGTGGGAACGGGGGTGTAGAGAGTGCACATCAGACTTCAAGAAGGAGCAGGAGTGTTGGAGCTCTGTGGTCTTCCTGTTGTGGAAATACTGGAGGTGTGGTCCCCAGACCCGCAGCCACCCGGGAGGTATTAGAAATGATGATTCTCAGGACCTACCTCAGGCCCACTGAAGCCAGCCCCTTGGAAGGGACTGAGCGTCTATCGGAATAAGTGCCCCAGGGACTCCACACATGCACGTGTGGCTACCGGTGTGTGCAAAGGTGCATGCTCACACCCACCTGGCTCCTGTTAACCTAGACAAATTTTAGGGGGGTATCTATTAGGCCTTTTGTCCAATTTGCTTTTTGAAGAATTTGAATTGATGATGGAGGATTTCAGGCATGGGTGACTGAAGAGGGAATGGTATTATGAATCCCTGTGTATCCGTTGCTTCTGCTTCAAAAATTAGCAGTCAGCCATTTTGTTTGGGCTCTATTTTTTTCATTTGGGTTTTGGAGTATTCTAAAGTAAACAGCCATACAGACATGAGTTCTGTTAGCTCTTTATATATCCCTATGTCCTCGGCCAACTGCAGTCAGAATAGTGAGGAAGTTTGGGGCCTGATACTGGCTGTGTCTTCAGCTGGGTCATTCCCTACTTGGTGGTGGCCTCAGGTGACATACGGATCTCCCCCCATACTGCACACCTGAGAATGATCCCTTGCCAGAAGGGAGAATTGAGAGAGAAGTTTAGCAATTTGAGTCTTAGGTGATGAGTTTGTTTTTTGTCTTTGAAGGAATCTCTCATTTCCTCTCAGCTGCTTCTCATGTCTTAGCAGACAGGGGCTTGTTCCTACCCTAGGGCTAGGCTGGGTCACAGTGGGAGGTGGGGCAGGAGTCTTTCAACCCTGCTGAGGGCAACAGGTGTGGGAGTAATGATGCAGGCTCCTTTTATGCTGGTTCCCTCCTGGGTGAGCAAGCGGGAGGCATGCTGAGTGACAGGCACTGGTCTCACGTGTATTTGGAAAGCAGAGAGCTCCAAAGGTGGCCTGTGTCCAGTTTATCTCTCACACACTTTCTCCAGAGGTGGAATATCCTTAAGTCCATTTACCTGTCCTTATGGCTTATCCTGTAATTTGTTCAAGGCACATCCTCTGAGGTCAAGAAAGAGGTCTTCTTGGGCAGGCAGGAAGTAGTTTAGAGGCAACTCCAAATCTTCAAATAGATAAATACTACTACAGTCACTCCTTAGTGTTCACAGATGCTGAAGTCCTTTATATAAAATGGTGGAGTATTCGCGAGTGTCCTCCCACATTTAAAATCATCTCTAGAATCACTTATAAGACTTAATTCAATGTAGAGGCTATGTCAATAGTTGTAGTACTGTATGGTTTAGGGAATAATGACAGGAAAACAGTTGGTACGTGTTCAGTACAGTTTTTTTCCTTGAATGTTTTGGTACACAGTTGGTTGAGTCTGCAGATGTTAATCTAGGTAGTGTGGAGGGCCAACTGTATGTCTTATCCTTCCTTTTAAAAAAATTTTGAGACGATTCATGAAGGAACCTGGCCAATAACCAGTCAGCCTGTGTTAACTAAGGGAGGATTTATCCTTTCTAAAGGAGAAAAAAGTGAGGCTCAACTCTTGCCCTTCCCCTTGTCATTACTGTTGATTTAGGGTCTTTATTTCTTTTAAAGTGAAGCGAGTCATATGTGTTCATTTGGCAGTGGGAGGACATTGTTAAAACTCTGAAGTCCTGGGAGCACGGCCTCATTCACTCTTGGCCTGTGACCCAACTGATTACTTTTGTATTAATAAAGCCAGGGTCTGTCCTGGAGATTGTCACTGAACTTGGGCAGATGTAATTCCGTGTTGTCCCAAGTGCACCATGACATAGAAGCTAAAATGACCATTGGAGTGAGCTCGGGGAAGGCTTTAGATCTGTGGTGGGTGCAGGAGGTACTAGAAGCCAGGACCTGGCAGCTCAGCTTGGCTCATCTGGCCTAAAGCAGCTGCCTGGGTTGGGGACCACCTTACTCAAGATTCTGGCAGGAGACACTTAAGGAACTAGTCTTCCTGGCCCTGGGTCCTGGAGATAAAGTGTTACACCAGGATCCACCCTCTAAGGCTTCTCGGGCTGGGCTGTGAGTGCTCGTTCTTCCTTAGAAATAAGTCTAATATGCTTGTTTCTCTTTATTGGCTTGGCTTCCCATTTCACTCCGACGTGGGGTGGGGCCAAACCAACCACCTGTCCACTGCTGCCCGTCTGGCCCGCCCTGCCTCAACACAGTGGTGAAACAGCGCTTGCAGATGTACAACTCACAGCACCAGTCAGCCCTCAGCTGCATCCGGACCGTGTGGAGGACCGAGGGGTTGGGGGCCTTCTACCGAAGTTATACCACGCAGCTGACCATGAACATTCCCTTCCAGTCCATCCACTTTATCACCTACGAGTTCCTGCAGGAGCAGGTCAACCCTCGCCGGGACTACAACCCACAGTCGCACATCATCTCAGGAGGGCTGGCCGGGGCCCTGGCCGCGGCCGCCACAACCCCCCTGGACGTCTGTAAGACCCTCCTCAACACGCAGGAGAACATGGCACTCTCCCTGGCCAATGTCAGCGGCCGGCTGTCGGGCATGGTCAATGCCTTCCGGACGGTGTACCAGCTCAACGGGCTGGCAGGCTACTTCAAAGGCATCCAGGCACGCGTCATCTACCAGATCCCCTCCACTGCCATCTCCTGGTCCGTCTACGAGTTCTTCAAGTACTTCCTCACCAAGCGCCAGCTGGAGACTCGAACTCCATACTAAAGGAACAGGCTGTGGGAAGTGGTTCCAGAATCTTTTTGTTCTCAGAAGGCTTCTCCTGCCTGCCTCAGTCCCCTCGCCCTCACACCCAGGTCCTTTCTTGCAGGGTGCTCCCGGCAGGCCCTTAGAAATAGGGGAGGACCGGACACCCGCTGACCTGATGGCTGTCCATGGGGACATCCTTGGGGACATCCAAGGAGGCAGTGGTTGGGAAGGACTTTTGGAAGGGGAGCGAGAAAAGACTTTCTCCTCCTGCCCCGAAAGGAATGTAGCTTTTCTGCTTCACTGTGACAGTCTCCTCCGTAGATCCTTAGATCACACAGCAGGGAAGAGGAAGCGCAGTGACCAGTCACATTAAAGGAAGAGTTTATGTATATAAAGGTTCCATTACAGTCTAAAATAGGTGGATAATGTTTATCCTTTATTTTTCTACGTAGAAGTTTTTGAATTTGTGTGTGTGCTTGTGCGTGTCCATAAATAGTGTTACAGCTGGGATGATCCTGTTGTTTTTTTTTTTTTAAAAAAAGAGTGCTGAATTCTTCCATCCTGCTCAGTTCAGAGGCACCAAAGTAATAAATGGCTGAGTGCAGCCTGAAACTGTATAGCACCCTCAGATAGAAGTTTCACTTGAATGTAAAATAATAAATATTAAGTTAATATTTTGAATTTCTCTTTTACTGGGGGAAAAAAAAGGTACGTTAAAAAAAAGATCAAAATAATGATGTATATTACTTGCAGTTTTTTTTTTTTTTTAAACCTAATCAATCACCTTCATGTGCCTTTTTCTTTGTTTTTCCTAAAAATTCCAGGACCAAAATCAGGCCCTGGCACGTTTTCTCCCGCTGTGTACAAACACGCACACATATGGGGCAGTGGGCTGCTCACACTGCAGGTTGGTGGCTTCAGTAGCATTAGGTTGACTAGTCTTAAACCTGCTGAGACTGGTCCTCCCTTGTGAGTGGTGTGGCTCTGCCTCCCTGGGTCAGCACTTAGAAGCCCTTGACAAGCCGGCATTTGGCTAGGTTGAGCAGGTCATTGGGACAAATCCTACCTTTATCCCAGACTTATTTCTATGTCAGCCATTTTTCTCAGGCACATCAGGTCACTTGGTCTCAGTGTGTTTTGATCAAGTCTCCTCCTAATCTGTTTTTTAAAAAAAAACAGAGGCAGCATATCTCTGGCCCTTGTCCACCCACCTGCCCTGTTCCAACCATCAATTCCCCTGTCACAGCCTCTCAATGCACAGTGACAAGACCGGCCATCCATAAGGGACCCTACTGCTGAACCCTGACCTGGACCCTCACGCGCAAGCTAAAGGATTTTCCCAGATCCATTCTTCAGCATGGACTGGTTCCTGGCACCTGAGAACACCAGGCCTTGCTACCTTGTTTTCTGAAATGGAGTCAGATTGTTGCTAAGAGAAAATACAAGCCTGTTTCCTCTGGCCACAGCACTCCACATGCTTCCAGACCACTCTCATGGGAAGACTAGACGGCCTCGCGGTTCTCTTTAGCACTCTTCAGCCTGACTACAAGTGAGCAAGAAGCATGTGTGTCTTCATTTTGGAGGACCAGGTCTTCACCTGCTGCTCTGGCAATGGCCAGTGCGGTGCCTCTCGCTGGGGAGGCTCTGCCTGGGCTCCTTTGGAGTGGCGTGACTGTCTGGGAATCAGGTTGCACTTGGAGAAGCGTCACCTTGGGACCGTGCACATAGTGCCTCTGGGTGTAGGTTTTGTCCCAGTAGCTATGAGAAGTTGTATAATACAAGAATTGACTTCCTTTTTCAAATCAAGGAGGAGAGACAGCCACTTTGGTGACCTTCCATGTGTAGCCCATGAGCACGTTGGCTGCTGACCTGCCCCCTCTTTGAGGTGACACCCCTGACCTCCATAGAAACCCCTTGCAGCAGTGTTCTGTGCTCATAGGGCTGCTGCCGGAAATGAGCACATCTGTCCTCTGGGGCTGCCTTGGGTTAGTGTGAAGTAGTGCTCAGTGCTGCAGGTGAAGGAGGAAATCAGATGGTAGATCCTAAAGTAGAATTTAAATCAAATCCTTAACAAATGCTTGCAACCACCCCTTTCATCCACTCAGTACACCACCTTGTTGCAAAGTACTCCCTACTTCCTATAGGATTTTGTTCTCAGTGATACATTGACAACAGAAGCTCTTGACTTCCCAGAGAGCCTCTTTGTTTAGGGGATGTAGGTGGGAGAGGCAGGAATGGGACTTGACTCTCTGTGGGTTGGTGATCCAAGGCTCTTGTCCTGGCCCTGCCCTGACTGTAATGGTGGATGGGGGTTGTCAGAGGTTAGTCTCCTATCCCACCTGCCCCACCAGGTCGTCATGGAGTGAGTAGATGCCTTTTCAAGTCATGAAGCACTAAACAGATAAAAGTGTTTGTTAATTTTGTAGCAATTAATTTTTCCCTCTTACCCTAAGCTTGAAAATTGTTTATTATTTTTGCCCATGCAGACTGTAGCCCATGTGCTGATTGTGATTGACATAGTAAAGTGTGAAATAGGAGAATGCTGCCCCCTCCCAGTGACCACCTTCCTCACGGCATATTCTTGGTCACGAGCATCTTTGGAGTGACGTCGCAGCCTGGCAAAATGTGCAGTACTCATACTTTAACTGTGTGTGTGTGTGTGTGTGTGTGTGTCACGTGCATTAGCTGTTGCTCAGACCCTGATTGGAGGTTCAATCACTTGTACATCAGAGTTTTAGAATAAAACATTTTTTTTTTTCCAAATGGGAGAATCATCCATCCAGGACTTTTTTTTCTTTGGATTGAATCTAGCTATTCTGTTTCTTTGTTTTCTGATGCTTGATGTCTTGGTCTAACCGCCATCCTCCAATGGCCCCTAAAGCTGCATCTCCAACACATTGTTATGCCTTGAGATTTTATTTTTTTATTTAAGGATGGTTGTGTCTATGAAATAGAAATGTACTGCTGCTTCCTACCTGCAAGATGCATGGTGTATGTGTATGTGATAAGAGGGGACAAGGTGTTACTTAAGTGTCTTTGGCAGTCAAGATGGTCTCTGCTTCATAGTTGCCGCCAACTCTTTAAAGAAGTGGAGAAATGTGCACTCATGTATGGGAATGTTGCTGACATGCTGCTACAGTTGTATCACTGGAGCTACAGAAAATAAAGCATTGATCCTGGAAGTGTTGTGGGCTCTGTAGTGGGAATAGCGAGGTGACAGAGGTAGGCGGCCAGGAGAGATGGTGTGGGCAGAGCTTGTGCATGTTCCATCTGACTCACGAAGGACGGGCATCACCAGGTTGGATGGGAACTGCCCTCTTCCCAGATCGGAAGCAGGGCCCCAACTGGCCAGCACCAGGGCACTTGGGGTGTCCCAGCAGGGCAGCAGCTGGGAGCTTCCTGCTCACCTCATTCCCCATCTTGGGAGGGTGGTGGCTTTTCTTGAGGGAGCCTGAGTATGGCAAGATGCCTGTGTTGCCTCATTTCCTCTCTCGCACACCCCTCCGCAAAGATTGTAAGGACCCTCTGTACGGAGTGGTCCCTGAGAATAACCAGAGGCCATGTTCCCCAAAGATTACAGTTTAAGCTGGAAAATATAAACTGGAGGTAGGAGTTGGGGAGCCCCTTGGAGAAAAGTCAACAGTCAAGGTCAGAGACCTCCTGTCAGCACAGCCACTGAAGCCCTTGGTGGAGGTGAGGGGTTGTCTGACGCCTACACGGCTTTTCTTTACAGTCACATCTTGGCCCCTTCCCCGCAAGTTGGCAGTGAAGTTCAAACAGCAGCATCCTGCCTGTTGGCCCAGGCTCCTTTAGGTCCCCTTGTCCTCCAGGTCACTGCTTTATCCCCATCAGCTGGGGGCTGGAGCTGCCCCTGCCTCAGCTCTTTGGTGCTGACCGTGTGCATTTCTTCCCAGCTTCACGTTGGGTAATGTCACATGGGTGACTTGAAATTGACAACAGTGAGGATATTTACACCACAGAAACAGGTGCGCACCTAGTAATCAAGGCCATTGCTTCTCTAAGAGTAGCCACACGGCGTTGCATAGTGCTTGGTGTGTCCAGGTGTTCAGTGAAGGTCTGCTGGGAAGCAGATGTGGCAGCTCATCTTCAGCCTGGGAGCCTGCTTCCTGCTGCCCCCTTAGTTCCCGGCCTGCCACCTCCTCTCTGGAGCCCTCTTCAGAGTCTTCAAACTCAATTCCAGCCCTAGAAAATCCATGAATAAAGGCGATCTCTCCCTACTGTCCTGAGTCCCCAGGGCCGGTGGTAGATTAGCCACCCTTCTCAGGAAAGACCTCCCTCTGGCCCATAGGAGTGGCCTTAATAGTAGCATCTTGGAAAGAATATAATAACCGCAGTGTTGTAGAAGAGGGAGAGACACCGGTAGGGGGGAACCAAGGTGGAGGATTATTGCTTATGGGGGAAGAAAGCAGTGTCTCTGGTCTAAGGCTGAATATAGGGAGTGGCTTAAGAGTAATCAGTGCAGTTTGAGGAACACAGCTTGTTTGCAGCCCTAAGAGTTTTGCGGGAGATACTTTCACAGGAAGCTGCAATTGTGTAAGAGCCTTGCCTGCCTTTATAATAAGAAGCCTGACCTTTTAGTCGTCGATTATGGGGAGTCATCCAGGGTCTTTCATGAGAGCATACCATGATTGGGAAAAGTCACCCAGCAGAGGCGCACAGGACCCTGTGGGGGAGGAGCACCAGGGGAGACTGAGGTGGTTGCTTTGGTGTCACGGTGAGGTTGTCCTGAAGAATGACTAGGAGACAGCAACGGAGACCCGTTCAAATGGGAGAGGCTGCACAGAGGAGAGGGTAGACTTGGAATCCACATTTGAGAGGGAGGAAGACCTGGTGGGAGGACCAGCAGGTGGTGACAGGTGCCCATCTCATGCCCTGCACCTGTCTCCTTCCTTTCCCTGCCCCACGTCTCAAGGCTGGAGGGCTGCTTCACTCTTGGCTTCCAATTCCCTGCCCTTCTCCCAATCCTTGCCTTTGTGACTACTTTCTCTGGTCCCCCTCTAGCTTCAGCTGCTTCCTCTGCTCGGAAAGGTTTTGCCTTGTCTCTCCACAACCTCTAGGTGCCAATCTGCCCACCTCTGGGGAGATGGTTCTCAGATGTGGGCACGTAGCACCCCGCACTCTTCTCCTAAGCACCACATCTAAGTGCCCCGTGGCCTGCAGGAGATCTCCCAGATTTAAACTTGTCCTCCACATTCCAGAGTCTGTGCCTGTCCTTGCTGGCCGAGACCTACCATGTTATCCACTTGCTCAAAACCTTCAAGGGCTCCGATTGCTTACTGAGTTTAAGAACAGGCTCTGTTACACATGGTGCCGCCCAGCTTCCTGCATAAGGGAAGAGAAACCAGGAGAGGTGCAGAGTCTTCCGAGTGGGTAGTGCCACATTCCTTCTGGACCTTTGTTCTCACTGGAATGTCTTTCTCCCTCTCCTTCCTCCTCTCCATCTTCCCTGGCTGCCCACCAAAGTCCTGTCTTCAAGGCCACCCTGAGGAAGGCACGTCTTCCTGACTCCCACCAGATGTGTTCTCCTTGCGTGGGGGCCTCTCTGCGGTTTTGCTGCCTTCCACCTACAATGTCTGCCCAGTGAAGAAAGGGACGACTTGGTTCAGCCTCCTCAGCTTAACATCTCCCCCTCTGCATAAGGGCGACAGTCATTAATTGTATTTAGAAAATTCCTGAAACCCTGTGGGATGTGCAGGTGCATGTACCTAAAAGGAAAGTCAGGTTGGTGCTCAGAAGAAAAGTCTGGGGCCCACCTAAGGGTTAGCCGTTCTCTCTGGGGTGTAATGGGTAAAGCCAGGGCACAGGTGAGAGTCCCAGGAGAGAGAGAGAACCTTGTGGAATGCTTCCACCTAGTAGCGAAGAGAAAGGCCAGAGAATGGTGAAGGAAGCCAGGGGCCGAGGCTTAATGGAGAAGGTGGTGTCAGTCCCATCGGCATGGGTGGAAAGTCAAAGAAACTTGAGCTGTTTTTTAAAAGTCCTAGGTTGTCTCTCCTGGATGCTGTGTTCTGTCCCTGGTTTGTGTTTTCTCCCCTTGTCCTTGGCTTTCTTTCTCTCTCTCTCTTTTTTAATTCCCTTTTAAATCCCACCATCATCAAGTTCAGTGGCCTTCCTCCTGCACCCTCCTAACACAACAGGAGATTCTAGGAGTCACGCAAAGGGAGTAAGTGGGCAAGTCCTCGTGAAGGCCCATATCAGGCTTGAAAGTGGACAGCTGGAAAATAAACTTGGTATCTATCAAGAAGTTAAAGCTCTCCTGGAACTTCGCAGAAAGGAAGAAGTTTCATCAGCGTCTCCAGCCAGATTTCATGTTTAAAATCTGGACTTCATGCATTTACCAAATTTGAGAATATGTCCAAGCTTGCCTGTTCCTCTAGCCTTGACTCCTAAAGGTAACATTGCCCTGGGGAACACCTGAGCTCGCTCTTGTGAGCCGTGGATAGAACATTCTGGAATTCCAGGTTCCTGTTGGCATGGCTCCTTTAAGACGGCTCCTTCAGGGGCTGGGGTTGTGGCTCTCGCCTCTCACGTGTGAGACCCTGTTCGATCCTCAGCACCACATAAAAAAATAAATAAAGGCAGAATAAAGATATTTAATATTTTAAAAATATTTTTTAAAAAGATGGCTCCTTCACTGTCTCCTTATTTACCTATGGTGGTCACAAGGTGTCACTTTCCATAGTGAGTGGTACCTCTGGGAAGAGCCACCAGCACTGCAGCTGAGAGGACACCAGGGCCAGCTCAGCCTATGTCCACGGTCATTGGAAACTCCTCTGTGAGAAGAAAAACTGTCCATCAAGACCACACTGATGACACTCGGTCTTCAAGCTGGGACAGTTGAAGCCTGGGTGTTGCTGAGGAGACCTTGTGTATTTCTGCTGTTAGGACACAGATTGAAGAGGCTCAGCAGCCTCGGAAACCTGGTGAAGCCCAGAGCTGCAGAAAGGAATGTGGACACCTGGGTTCCCTGTCCCTGTCACTCTGGCCCTCATGAGGGGAGACACCGTTAATGAAGAAGTAGAAAGTGGTTCCAGGGTGTTCTCACCTGTTTGTGGGTGTGTATGTGGGAAAATACTCCCTTGGTGGATGCCTTTAGCTTGGGCTCCAGGTGATAAATACCTATCCCCAAAATCATGATTGGAGTCTAGTGTCACCAGCTGAGAAATTGCAGCATATCCTCTCCCTTTCTCTGCCTGTACCTGTGTAAAGTTTGAAATAAAATCGTGCAGATTTTAATAAAAATGATTATGGTTATCCACCACTCCTCTGCCACAGCTCTGGGCTTCCTGAGGTTTCCAAGGGTGTTGCTTTCCGCAAACATTAAAGGTCCTTGATGACAGCAGAAATACCCAAGGACTGCAGGCGGAGCTCCTGCTTCAATGGTCTTGGTCCAAGAAAAACATCGCCAGCCTGGAAACTGGTAGTGCCTGAGTGTGAGAAATTTCCTGTAGTCCTTCTTATTATGTAACAGTTCTAGCGATCTTATCTATGTTCAGTGTTTGTAACCACAAAACCCTTGTGATCATTTGGCCATCTTCAGGCAGGGCCGAGGGTCTGAGGACAAACAGTCACACACGATTCCCTCTTCTGGGTCCCCCCAGGCCTATGGCATCATGAAATGTGGATAAATGGCCCAATCAGGGTGTCATGAGGAGAGCAGCCAGGAGGAAATGAATGATCTTCAGATGAAGAGTGAACCAAACCTGGAGCTGGTAGGAAAACTTCCTTCACACTAAATAGAACACGGGATTCCTAGGCTCCTGGTGCTCCCATGAAGCAGGGAGGTGCACAGCATCCTGTGGCAGAGGGTTCCTGGATCCTGCTGTCATGCCTCACTGATCCAACTTCCTATCGTGAAGAGATTATTTTGATGGTTGATTTAGATCACAATGTTTGCTGATTGATACTATCTTGAATTTCCACCTTGCCGCTATAATTTTAGTATTTAAGATCAGCAAGTTTCTAAAACCCAATTTTGAAAACCATGCAATTACCTGCTAGTGAATTCCAATTCAGGAAGACTTTCATTTTTTGATAAAATGAGGATATTTATATGCTGTGGCCCATTTTAACCATTGAGCACATGGGATGGGTCACTAGGTTCAGAGGCCTGGGAGCTAGTCCTGGAGGTCACTGACTGGGCGGTCCTGAATGACCTTGGGTG